CTTGGTTGTGATTAGACGAGAACCCCAGTGCATATGCTTTGCATTGAAGTCACCGCCCATGATGAAGCGGTGTTTGTGCATTTCAATAAGCTGTTTGTACTGCTCTGTTTTAATTTTGTGCCTTGGCGGGCTGTAGACAGAAGTAATTTGTAATTTACATTGCAGATCAAGCGTAATGGTTATCGCCTGAAATTCTTCATTGGAGATTATTTTGGATACGAAATACTTAAGAGATTTCCGAATTAAGATTCCACTTCCTCCTCGAGCGCAATTACTGGGATGTACTACGTGATGAAACTCGTAGTTTTTAAATTTTAGGTATGAATGATGTGTGAAATGCGTTTCAGTAATAAGGCAAACATCTATTTCTCTGGCTGCTAAAACAAGTTCAAGCTCTCTAAAATGTTTGAGTAAACCATTAGAATTCCAAAGCATTATTTTTAGTAAACTTGACATTATTAATTAAGTTATCTTTTTTTGTTCTAACTTAGTAAGCCTCTTATCTAACATTTTATAGTAGCTTTCTTGTAGAGTTAATTTTTCTAATATTTGGTTAAGAATTTTATGATTTTCATCAGGCTGGGCGTTGGATCGCACCATTTCAGCGTACGTTGGATTGTTTTTGTTAGTAGGTTTTAAGTTTTTGTTTATTAAATCAGATGGTTTATTATTATGTTGATTTTTGGTCACTTTATTTCGCTGGAGATTTCCATTCTTCTCTTGCATTATTTTATTTCTTTGTTTTTGGAGCTCCTTAGCCACTACACAACCTCTGTAATTGGCCAGCAGATGGTGTGATTTGTTATATCTGCCAAAATCCAAACCATTTTTCGAAAATGTGTCGCAGCAATATAAAACAACAACAATTTTCATCAAGCAAATATGTAAAACAAATCAGTGCAGAAGACGACGACGTAGAAGATTTGATTATTGGAATTTTACATACAACAAACAGTAAAAACGAGTCCATAAAAAACAGTAGTGCAGAAAAAATAGAAACTGTACAAAATAAAATTTGTGAGTGGAGTATTGAGACTATGATTAATAACAAAAAAGTTCTCTTTCAAATTGACACTGGAGCACAAGCCAATATATTATCAATGCACACTGCAAATTATTTAAATATTGATTTTTGTAATAATGTACATATTAGTAATAAAAAACATATTAACTTTCAGTGGCGAAAAGTTGCCTATTGTCGGCAGTGTGAATTTGAAAGTGAATTTTAAAAACAAAGTATATGATTTGCAGTTTTTTATTGTAAATATGAAATGTAAAAATATATTGGGGTTAAGTTCAGCTATAAATATGAATATTGTAAAGTATATAAATGCATTATTTGTTGATAAAATTTTTGAAAATTATAAAGAAATTTTTTGTGGTTTAGGAGAATAAAAGAATAAATGTGAACTAACTATTAGGCCGGAAATCACTCCAGAAATTGATCCTCCAAGAAAGATTCCTTTTGGTTTATATGATGATTTAAAAAAAGAATTAATAAGAATGGAAAGTTTAAATGTTATTACTAAAGTTAATGAGCCAACTGAATGGGTCAGTTCTATTGTGCTTGTAAAAAAACCAAATGGCAATTTACGTGTATGTTTGGACCCAAGAAATTTAAACAAAGCAGTCATGAGACCACATTATCCATTTCCAAATGTAGACAATTGTAAAACGCAACTAAGTGGTTCCAAATATTTTAGTTCTCTTGATGCTAATTGTGGTTTTTGGATGATTCCATTAACTAAAAATTCATCTAAATTATGTACATTTAATACGCCTTTTGGGCGATACAGATTTTTACGACTACCATTTGGAATAAATGCCGCTCCTGAAATATTTCATAGCGAAATGGTCAAACTGTTTGGTGATATTAATGGTCTCATTATTTATATAGACGATTTTTTAATACATTCGCCTACAATTGATGGTCATAACAAAATTTTAAAAGAAGTTTTAGATAGAGCAAAACAAGTAGGTCTTAAATTTAATAAAGAAAAATCTAAATTCTGTACAAATGAAATCAAATTCATAGGTCATATATTCAACGCAAATGGAATTATCGCTGACCCCGAAAAAATTAAATCAATTATAAATTTACCGACACCTAAAAGTGTTTCTGAATTACAACGATTTTTAGGTATGGTGAATTATTTAGGTGGATACATAAATAATTTCTCCTCAAAAAATAAACATTTGCGAGATTTATTAAAACATAATGTTCAGTGGCAATGGAATGAAATTCATAATCAAGAGTTCAAGAATTTAAAATATGAATTAACCAAATCTCCAGTTCTGATCTATTTTAATCCAAAAAACCAATTACTCTTACAGTTGATGCATCTAAATTTGCAGTTGGTGCAGCTATTTTACACGACAACAATCCTATTGCGTACGCCTCAGCGTCACTGACAGACACTCAAAGAAACTACGCTCAGATTGAAAAAGAGCTGTTTGCAATTTTGTTTGGTTGTACCAAATTTCATGAATATCTTTATGGTTTAAGAGCTTTAGTTGAGACCGACCACAAACCACTTGTATCATTGTTTACAAAGCCATTATACAACATTCCTGCCAGGTTACAAAGATTTATGCTACGTCTACAGTGTTATGACCTAAATGTTCAATATAAACCCGGAAAACATCTTTATATTGCAGATATGCTTTCTAGAGCACCACTCAGAGAACACGCTTTAAATGAAATTGATAATGATTTGTCACTACATTGTGATTTGTTAATGAAAAGTATAAATTTATCTGTTAGTCTTCTTAGTGAAATCATGGAAAACTTAATTAACGATGAATCACTGCAAAAAGTGATTTCGTATATCAGAAATGGTTGGCCTTCCAATAAAAAATTAGTTGATACACTGGCTATGCCATATTATAACATCAAAGATGATTTGTCTTTTATCAATCAACTTTTATTAAAAAATAATCGTATAATTATACCACATCAACTTCGTCACAAAACATTAAATAGTCTACATGAAGGACACATGGGAATTCAGCGTTGTCAGAATTTAGCTAAAAGTTCTGTTTATTAGCCAAATATTAATCACGATATATTTAATTTAGTTTCTAGTTGTGAAATTTGTGCTAAATACAAAAATTGCAATGGCAAACAAGAGCTACTGCCTCATGATATTATAGAGTTGCCTTGGTATAAAGTGGCTTGCGATATTTTTGAATTTGAAAAGAAACAATACCTTTTGGTTCTCTTTATATTATTCAAAGTACATTGAAATTGATATTTTAAACATGGGTTACTCTAGCAAGCATGTCATTACAAAATTAAAATCTATTTATGCCAGACACGGCATTCCTAAACCTTTTGTTTCAGACAATGGCCCTCCTTATAATTCAAAAGAATTTAATCAGTTTTGTAATGATTGGTCTATTGAACACATAACATCGAGCTCTCATTTTCCGCGATCTAACGGCATGGCAGAGCGTTCCGTTCAAATTGTAAAAAAATTATTGATAAAATGTAAAGAACAAATTCAGATTATTACACAGCGTTATTGCATTACAGAACAACTCCTAAAGGTAATTTACCTAGTCGTAGTCAATTATTGATGTCACGTCAGTTAAGAACAAAATTACCAACTATAGATACAAATTTAGAACCAAAAATTGTGAATAATGAAAAGTACAAGATTCAAGTCGAACAAAATATAAAAAAAATGTCTGAAAATTTTAACAAAAAAGCCGTCAAATTACAACCAATTTTTCCAGGTGAAGAAGTCATGTTCAAGCGTACACCACTTTAGGTTTGGTATCCTGCAACAGTTGTAGAAAAATGTAAAGAACCAAGGTCATTTTTGGTAGAAGACAATGATGGAGTGATTTATCGAAGAAATAGAGAACATTTAATGAAAAGACAAAGTGTTTTAGACAATGTTGTAGGAAATCAAGATAATCAACACAGCGCATCGCGCTCTTAATGCGCTCTTGTACATTTTGCAATTTCGCTTTGGTGCAGTTGTGCTTAAGATCGCAGCATGATCAGATGTCAAATCGGTGGCGGTTGTTTTTCTCTTTATATTTGTTATACATAGTTGCTTGTATTATTTAATAAATAAATTATTACGTTGAATTAATATCGAACCAAATTATTTGTTGTGCAAATAAATTATTATTTGAAATTTATCGAACTTGGTTTGGTGCTTTGGTGGTCTGCAGATTCGTGCTGTGCGACCAACAATCTCCAACAGGCAAAATAGATGAAGAACGAGAGACTGTAAATCCAAATCAAAGTCCTGTTATAGATATAAATTTAAATAATGAAACAAGTGCAAATCAATATGTTACTCAAAGGGGAAGAAATGTGGTAGCACCTAATAGACTAAAATATGAATAATATGAAGATTAATATATGAATATCAAAAATTTGCTATTGCATTATTATATTGTATATACTTATTATTATATTATTAAAATAGACTAAAATATGAATCATAGGTTTAATATTATATTATTATATTGTATATATTGTATATACTTATACTCATTCTTATATTATTAAAATAATATTAAAATAGACTAAAATATGAATTATAGATTTAATATTAATATATAAATATAAAAAAAAAAAAAAGAAAGATGTGAAGTTTAAAATAAGTACTCTTCATGTAACTCTTATAAGTAAAACTCTTATACATATTCTATATTTTACATTATTGTATTGCACATTATAACATAATAAAGACAGTCGTTACTAAACAGTACATATACTAGATCGGTACTTTATGGTTAAAATGAATAGCTGTCACACTGAACTTTTTCAAATAGAGGCTGGAGTTACCCAAGGAAGTGTGTTGGGCCCTACTCTATATACTCTGTTCACAGTAGACCTCCCACTCAGCGCTAAAACATACACTGCAACATTTGAGGATGATACTGTAGTGATGGCGAAACACGCAGATTCTGTAGTAGCTTCACAACTTTTGCAAAGTAATCTGAACGATGTGAACGCATGGCTAGACATTTGGCACATTGAAGCTAACGATAACAAATCAGTTCAAACTACTTTTACACTCCGCCACGGTACCTGCCCTTCCGTTAGACTGAATGGCCGTGAATTGCCGCAAGCTGAAAACGCCAAATATCTAGGTGTACATTTTGATTGTCGTCTAAATTGGCGTCACCACATCTTTACAAAACGGAAGCAGTTAGGACTAAAGCTACGCTCACTTTACTGGCTACTTAATCCCAAATCCAAATTATCGCTAAAAAATAAAATACTTTTATACAAGGTCGTCTTAAAGCCAATCTGGACATACGGTATACCCAGCTGGGGTATAGCAGCGAAGTCAAATCTAGATATGATTCAGAGGTTTCAATCAAATATACTACGTATCTGCGCCGACGCCCCATGGTTTATCCCGAATAACGTCCTACATCATGATCTTGGTATCTCTACAGTGTACGAGTCAATACAGCAGATAAGCACTCACGACTGGTAGTTCATCCTAACCCCCTTGCCGCAGGCCTAACGAGGGATACTTTTAACATTCGTAGATTAATACGCTTCGCAACTTCTGATTTCTGAGATTCTAGAAATTGTAATTCTTCATAAGGCGGTGATTACCACTGGGTAGTCCCGTACATGTCATATATTGTTATTGCCATAAGTGGTACTTATTATTCATGAATAGAATAGATTGTATTTAATAAAATGAAGTTTAAAAAAACAAAAAAAAAAAAAAAAGAAACATAATTTTCGAAAAAATTTGTGGTGCCGTTTTTAACCCATACACCATTCTAGTGTACCTGTATAATCCAACATGTGTATGCACAGTTAAAAATTCTTGTGATCTTTCGGACACCTTGACTTGCAAATATGCTCCCGTCAAGTCTATTTTACAAAAATATTTCCACCCAGACAAATTTGCTAAAATGTCGTTAATTCGCGGGATAACGTGATGCTCATTTTCTACAAATCGATTAATTGTTCTTCTGCAGTTCACACATAACCTTATGTTACCATCACCTTTATTTACTACAACTATAGGACTCGCCCATTTACTTCTGATTGTTAGCACCATAACTCCTTCTGCATGTAATCTCTGGATTTCCTCCTCTACTTTTTGTCGTACGCCGAACGGAACTGAATGCGCTTTACTGAAAATTGGATAAGCATTATCATTAAGGTCTATTTCTGCTTCATAACCAATAATTGTTGAATTGTTGTCTTTACTAAATAATTGTTTGTATTTTGTAAAATCGACTTCACAGTTTTCTTTAAGAAATTGACCAACGTTGGTTCTATAAAATTTTTACGCCAATTAAGTACCAACCTATCAAGCCAATTTCTACCCAACAGAATTTTAAATACATGCGCTGAGTCTACAACAACCATATTAAGCTCATAACATTTTCCACCGAATTTTACGCGCACTTCAACCTGACCAACCACCGCAATGTTTTGACCCGTCAAGACTTTAATATTTCTTACCATCGGTTCTATTTTTATATGCTTAAATAATTTATTATAGTCAGGAATATGGCAAACAGAAACACACGCGCCGGAATCAATTCCACATTCAATTTGTACAAATAATTTACCGTATTTAATTAACATTACTTTGGTTTTTCTGGTCCCACTTTGTTGCTCTATTTTGATATTCCCGTTTCACATTTTTATTTTCATAATTTTTGTACCAGCAATTTTTCTGTATATGCCCTGGCTTCTTACAATGATAGCAAATGTACTTATTTTTTTCCACACTTTTATACCTGCGCTTACTTTTGTCTCTAAAAGCTTTGTCTAATTGTTCCCTTTGATTTACTCTGCCACGTTGATTATCGCTGATCTGTTTTACGCTGTTGGACCTCATTTGCTCTATACTATTATTCGTCATGTCCGACGACAAAGCTAGCTCACATGCTCGCTCAAAGCTTTTAAGGTTTGCTTTATTTAGTAGTCTGTTCTGAATACTGCAATTATTTAACCCACAAACAAATTTGATAAGGAAAATCGCGCTCTCGTGCAAGCTGCTTCAATTCGACAATATATTCTGCAATAGTTTCACCAGTATGTTGGTCTCTTTTAAAAAATTGATTGTACTCAAAAATTATGTTTTTTGTTGTTGCAAAGTGGGCTTTTAATTTTGCCACTATTTCTTCATATTTGAAGTCTATTTCACTTTTCGGTTCTAGCACGCTGGTTAAGGTCTTATAAAGGTCAGCGCCTCCAAGACTTATCAGAAAAGACGTCTTACTTTCGTCTTTTTCAATTTTATTTAAATTCAACAAATGACCTATACGATTAATATACAATGAAAAATCCTCACCCATTACTTAATTTTCTATCGATCTAATTAATGCCACTGCCGAATTTGCCATACTGTTAGTCCCTTTTTTCACAGCTTCAGGTCTATTTTCCAAATCAATCTTTCCTTCAAGATTCATCAATTTGTTTCCACTTATTAAATATTATAATAAATATTTTTACTTTTTCGCTTTTTTTTTACTTTTTCTTCGGCGCCAATTATTATATATTCGAGAAACAGACTCAATTTATTATATTTACGTTTTTACAGAATTGTGTTCTTACGTCTATCTCAATTCAACACTAAGAGAAAGAGCTTGAGTGGGAAAGATTATTTACATACATATCAATAATATATATCTTAACATTTCCCATCTTTACTTTTTTAAAAACAAGTGTTTTAAAAGAAATAATAATATTCATATTTGAATTTCATGGGATGAAGACAAAATCAATCTTTCTGATTTATGTTGCAATTAAAAGTGTGTTTTATTATCTTTAAAGGTTTTCGTGTGCATTTGGATCTTTATTGTAGTTTTTTTTTAAATTAATCTTTTTATATAAGAAAGTCACTTTTTCTATTCAAATTTTCATTAATTCATTCATTCGAAATACTTGCGTAAAAAAATACGAACATTATATTTATACTTGAAATTTAGATGGCGCTGGCTCGCCTACCTTGAGTTTGCATCGCATTTGGCGCTGTGAGGATGGAGGTTATTTTTCAAATAATTGGATTTTTGGTAAAAAAATGGACAATATTTAAAAAACAATTGTGAAAAAACTGTATGTACGATTTTTATGGTTTCAGACTTTTTGAAATGGAAATTCGTGTATTTAAAGTAAAATTAATGCCATTTCTCTGCCGTTTTTTCACACGAGGATATAACGATTACAGTAAAGTGAGCTAAAAAACAATGTTATTTTTTTTATCAATTTTTTATAATAAAAGTGAAATTTGTTATTGAGGTTTTAAAGTTATGTTTTGTGATGTATTTTTGAACATTTGTCACTTTTAGTTTTTTGATTTGGATGATATATGAGCAGTTTCGGTATCGAGATTCAATGTGATTTTTTACAAAAACTGTGTGTACGATTTTTCAGATTTTTACTTTAATTTAAAGCTTGTTTTATTGTCTTTCAGATGAATATTCGTGTATGTTTCTGCGGTCTTTGATTTTTTTATTTTTTGAATATCTCAGCTATTACGCAACATTTAGTTATGAGGTATATACCAAATGAAAGATTACTGAATTTACTATCTAAATCATATTTCTTACTTGGTGAAAAAGCTTAAATTTGGCTAATTTTGACAAATTAATAAACTTAGAAAAATTTCGTGTTCCAATTCCGGCTTGGTCCCCTCAGCGTCGTTGCTATCTAGGCTCAGGTCAATTTTGGACTACTTCATAAAATTTTATTACCTGAGCCTAGATAGCAACGACGCTGAGGGAACCAAGCCGGAATTGGAACACGAAATTTTTCTAAGTTTATTAA